TTGCTTCCAATAATGTTGATTACAGTCTAGGATCATCTAGTGTCCCCAAGGCTGTGAGGAGCTTTTATTGCACCCACTGTTCCAACTTTTTTTTCATGGAGATTGTAAACATCTGACAAGCCTTGTACAAAAGTGGGAAATCCCAACTGTGGATGTAGCAGTGTCCTTCTTTAAAATGACCACCATTCTAGTAGAGGATGCACTTGTCTGTAAGATTCCAAACTATAAGCAGCTGGACGTCAGTTCTAGAAAAAGGTTCTTACTGGCAGGTCCTGCTCTTTTTGGTGGTGACTTAATTTGCCAGAATATGGCTGACTGGTCAAAAATCCCTGAAAATGGAATTTACTATTGCTGTGGATGATCCCTTGCTTATAGAATATGTGGAACAAATGACTGTAACTTTAAACTTCAGTTGTGACAATTGGAGGTTTCCTGGTTTATCTCCCACATAGGTCTCATGTTGATACACATGTGTAGGACAGTTTGGACAAAGTGCAATTCTGTAGAATCTACATCTAAGAAGTATGCGGTCCACATGGCCTTCAAGGAACAATGAAAGGACACTGCTAGTGGTCTCACTCTGATGGTTTAGAAAAATCCTCTTCTTTTCTCAACCTCCTTTGGTGAGACCCCCCCAAGTTTGGCTTCCAACCCAATTGCAAGGCCTGGGGTTTAATGTCTGCCAAATCCTTAGACATGCCTTATTCCTCATGAATGTGTTCTCCGTTTTTCCTGGGGAAAGGGGGTTTACCCATTGACCTTTGAGGACATTTGAACAGCTTGCATCCCAGATGCTTTGGTGCAAAAGATTGTATAATTGAACTACATAGTAGAGTTTTGCTCCCAGTCCCTTCCTCTGTTTCTCACCTCCAATTTTCCTGTGTCATATTAGCAGATCTCCATCAAGCCAAGCCCTTTAGGGTCTTCTGGACCAAGGTGGCATTCCCCCATTTTCTGTTTAAAAACAGTTTCAAGGATTTTACTCCAACCTGTTCACCATTCCCAAACCTAAAAGGGGCCATCTGGCCCATCTTGAACCTCAAAGCTCTGTCTTTGTTAGAATTCAAAAGTTCTGCATGGAATCCACCAAGTCTGCCGTCACTTCTCTTCATCTGACTTCAAGGGTGCATACCTGCATGCCCCTAGCTTCCCAGTGTAACATTTTCTACATTTTGCTGTGGTGACCCCTGCACTACCAGTTTATTGCCCCCAACTTTCAGGCCTATCATCTGCACCATGGGTGTCTACCAAGGTGCTGGCTGTAGTAGAAATCCTGTGCCCTTATAGCACCCCAGTTGGGAAATACTTTGATGACCCTTTGTTGAAGGAATAAGTTGCAGGGACCAGATAATATGGCCCCAACTATCTGGATCTTACAGTGATTCAGATGGATCCCAAACCTTCAGAAATCAGCACTGGAACCAACTCATTGTTTGGGGTATCTAGGTGTGGTCCTGGACATAGCTAAGGCCAGGATCTTTCTCCCACAGCAGAAACATCAGACTTTCCAATCGAGATTCGAGCTCTCCAGCCTAGGAGTCTTCCAGTTTTCTGCTTTAGCATGAGAGCATTGGGCCTGATGGTGGCCTCCTTCAAGCCTGTTCCATTTGCCCAGTTACTCTTCAGACCTCTACATTGCAACATCCTGGTGTGATACAAGCCACTAAGGATCCAGTACAGACCAATTTGTTTGGCACAGAAGTCCTTGTTGTGTCCTGGCTTGGTGGATCAGAAATCCAGTTTTGGAATCAGAGGAAGTTCTTTCTTCCAGTCTCTTGTAAGATCCACACAATGGCTGCCAATCTGTCATACAGGGGAAGTGTTCTGGGCACCTTTTCTGATCAGTTTCATCTCCTGCTCAACAGCAATTTGGCTGTCTCTGCAGTGTTGGACCATCCTGCTGGAGGATCTTATGATCCAAATTCAATCAAACAAGTCCTGCCATGGCAAGACATTTGGATCACATCCTTCCCTGGAGATAACTTCATTTCCATCCTTGTTTGCCATGTACAGTATATCCTAGTCGTAAACATTTGGCTGGCAGACTTCCTCAGCCAGGAATGTCTGAACCTGGGGGAGTGATCCCTATAAGTGAAGGTGTTTTAGGACCTGTGCTGCAGGTGGAGGATACTGTATGTAGAGCTGTTGAAGCCCAGGTTTTGAGAGACAGAGTCAAAGTTGAATTATTGATTCCTACATTGTTAAAAGCTAGCAGTCTACTTAGAAGGTACACATTTCTTGATGTGAGTCCCAGGGCTTGCAAAGCAGGAGTTTTTGTTCCATGGGATGAATCCTATCTTTCCTTAAGTTGGGTCTGGACCAGCATTTGGTTTACAGAAATTCTTCTCTCTGCTGTTACCAACAAGGTTGTATTTCTTGTAGTGATCACCACTGTGATGCAAGTATCTTAACTGGTGGTGTTATCCTGCAAGAAACCTTTTCTAGTTTTGCATAGAGACAAGGTAATGTTGAGGTCCAAGACTCCCTTCATGCCTAAAGTAGTTTCTGACTTTCATCTCCCTCTCCCTTGTATGTGCCACCCAGCCACTGCTTCTTTGAGAAACATGGCTTCCCTTTTTGTCTTTCCAGATGGTTCCTGTAAGGCTGCATTGGATTCTTGTTCCACCATCTCTTGGTGGCCCAGACAGATCATCATATAAGTTTATGGTCTCAAGAATTGGGTTTCACTCTTTTCTGTGAAAGCACACACTAATAGATCCATGAGTGCTTCTTGGACTTTTTGGAATCCAGCAACTGTTTCCCAGATTTGTGAAGCTGTCATCTGGTTTTCTGTTCACACGTTCTCTAGTTGGACATTGTAGCTTCATCCGATGACCATTTTGGGCAGAAGGTCCTGTGAGCTGCTGGCAGTCCCCAGATCTGTTTTCTTGGGCCAGTTAGCACTTGTTTGCTGTGTGCCTACCCCCCTCAGTTGGCCTGCTTTTGGATGCCCAAAAGGTGAAAGTCTTCCTGTATCCCTCAATAGATGAGAAATAAAGTAGGAGTTTTGTAATCATTATAAAATCCTTCTTTCCATGATTATATTCTTTAATGATTATACTCTTGTTACTGCTTTACTACAAAACTTAGGCATGCTGGTAGTTGGAGGGGTTTCTCTTGGGCTGGATCAGTTTTTTTTTTTCCTTGCCAGTGTCTAATCATCCTGTAGGCAGCAGTATAACCTAAAGAGTAAAAGACTTCCTGTACCCCTCAATGGATTCTAAGAAAAGTATTGTAAAGTGAGTACAAAAAAATCCATTTCAAAGTTTTAACATACAAAGCCACAACTCTACCCTGAGCTACAACACCAATCAAGGCCATCGTAATGCATGGGTACCCCTGGGCACTGCCCAGGGGCTTCATGATAATCTTGCATTAAATCATACTTGCCAACTGTCCCGGATTTGCCGGGACAGTCACACTTTATGCTAAGCTATCCCGGGATGGCAGCATACCAAAACCTGTACTTTGCCCTTCTGATTCTCCCCTGTACTGTGCCCTTTGTGTTGATTAGTCTTTGATTTATGGCACATTTTCTTATTATTTAAAATTGCTTTTATTGCAATTACTAATATATATTAATGTTTAATTCTATCAACTATTTATACTTTAATGTGAGAGTACATTTGGGCAGGCTGGTAGGGGCCCTAGTGCATTACTTTGCTCAGGGGCTCAGGATGCTATTAAGATGGCCCTGACACAAATCACCTCTCTTCTGCTCAAGACCTTTTCCTATGTTTGCTGCCAGGATTTCTCCAGAGCCTCTCACATCCTCTGCAAATCCCTACACAAATCTCTCTGGCTATCTCCTACCCTATCTGCCTTTAGGTGATCCCTGACAACTCATCTTAAAAAAAAGGATATTTGTAAGACAGAACAAACAACTTGTTTAACACCCCCCCCCCCCCCCCCTTCCCCCCAAAAAAACATGTATTAATTCTAGAGTTATTGCCAAATAAATAGGGACATAATAGACAAGTAAAAACTAGTATGGCTCGTGAAATGGGAAACAGCTGGTAGTCCTGAAGTTAAAAGTAGATAGATCTCACTGAGAATTTTTTTTTAATAAAACAAGGCTATAAAACATTTAATTTCTATGAGCAAATTTGAAGGATTCAAGACTACCTACAGCAATACAAATGGATTCTAGGTGTGTAATTCTCCTTACAGCTTCACATACTCAGTACATATATTACAACAAGAGCATTCTGGCACTTCTTTGTAAACATCATGGTATTGAGCTGAAATTTCCCTTTAAAACGGAAGAAAAACCTCAAGAGAAGTTAGTATGTGTTAGAGATCTTAACAGAATCTCCCAGTAGATTTTGTAATTTTTCACACAGTTATAATCTTTTAGCATATGTTTCTATATTTTGACATTATTTTCGGACAGCTCTACATCAGTTCTACAACAGTATAATGAGAACTGGGAAGATAATAGGTTCAGTTGGAGGTTTCTGCCACCTTGTGGCATTTAATAAAAAAGGCTTTGTACTCATCTGTAGAATTAGTGAACAGGTCCCTCATCATTTCATATGGAACGATTGTCTTCTCTGATCAGTGATTGTGTGGTGTAGGGGTTGTACCTTACCACTGGTAAATTATGACACTTTTACACACCATACCATTCTGCAGCTTAAAACCAGTTTATATTTCTAAAAACCCCAAATTCTGGCTAAAGTGAAGTACTACAGGAACATTCTTGATTATACATGTTAATAAATATTCTATATTGGGACAGAATTGTCATATTGATCAGATATTTGTGATAAAGTCAACCTATGTTGGCTGCAAGCATCCTGACTTTATTATTTCCCTGTGACTGGATTGTCACAGATTCACTTTACATTTTGGTAATTCACAGTTTTCAATTAGGGGTATAGGAAGTGATGGAAATATTTGGGTATTGTCAATGAAAAAAAAAAGCTTTAGAATATAGTGCCTCACAGTGACAATATAGATGTCTTTGTATGTAACAGTGCCATTTCTGTTTTGTAGGTATGGAGAGTGCAATTACTCTGTGGCAGTTTCTGTTGCAATTACTTCTCGATCAGAAACATGAGCATCTCATCTGCTGGACATCCAATGATGGAGAATTCAAGCTGCTCAAAGCAGAGGAAGTGGCCAAGCTATGGGGACTGCGGAAGAATAAAACAAACATGAACTATGACAAGCTGAGTCGAGCCCTTCGCTATTATTATGATAAGGTAAGTGTTAGATCCGCTAGCTTCATACCAACTTAATACTCTCAATATTTACTACATAAAAGCTGTAAAATGCTCTTTAGATACAAGCATGTTAAATTCTCTACCATGAAGGAAACCGGATTTGGATCAAATTCTGAGTCTACCTTAACACACACAACTAACCAACAGGTGGTTTTTAAGACACTACAACTGCTATATGTGTATTTTCGTAGCAGTTCAGTTTGTGCCAGTGAAGTTGTCCTTTTCTAGAACACCACTGGAGTGACTGTTCATCAGGTTAGACCAGAGAAATGAACACTGAAGGAAATAGCCTTAGAACATCTGTCTAACATATGGTTTACACATACAAGCCCAAGCACTGGGACAAAGCATGGCAATAAATGGATTAAGCTGTGCAAGCGAATGTCAGCTGCAGGTCTAGGCATACACAGCAAGAAAGGAAAATACTAGTAATAAAAGCACAAATTTCTTCTTTTAGTATGGGAAGTAGAAACAAAGTGAAAAAAAAAACAAAATTGATCTCAAAAATAGATTAGTAAAATGTTGTACAACTGGTTAGTTTGGCTTCTTGATCCTCCATAAGGTTTTCACACTATGGCTGTGGAACTGAATACCACATTTTTGATTACTTTATTTATATCAAATCACAATATACTTAATAAATACTCAATACCTACACAAAATACCACTGAATCAATTATAGACAGATCACTGGGCAGAGACAGAACAGCAAAATATGTTCCACTCTGTCAACTCCATTACGAATGGGTTCAGCAGTCTGCTCCTCTACAGGGGTCAGCAACTGATTTACAGTTTGTATTGAAAACATGTAACAAAGACAACCCAAACAAAAATAGGACTTTTAGATATTTTATGGTAAAATATTTTTTCTTACGGATTGAAACTGTTGCTTTCCGTGTTCCCAGCACAAATCAGCTTGCAGATTAATGCTGAGCAGACCACAAGGCAGTAGAACAAGCCCTAATGCCATTTCACCCCTTTGGATTTAGTGAACCCTAGGTGTTGTCCCTTGAGAAAACTGCACATCATCAGTTATACTAAGGTTGCAGTAACTTGATGATATAAAGTGCTGTATTAAGTGGTCAAATAAGAGCTTCTGGTACACAGATTCTGAAGAAATGTATTCACTGTTCTGTGGTTACTATTGAGTGCTAGTTGGAAATCTTCTTGACCATGAGGCTTAATGAGAAAAAAAATTAAAACATAATTGTGACCTGTGATCCTCTTTAGTAACAAATCAGATTTTGTTTTAGAGTGTTATGAGATCAGCACAACAAAAGAGATTTGCTTGCAAAAGGATAACTGCTATTTGCTCACTGCTGTAAGGCTTAGTTATAAAAAGGTATATTTGTACAGTAGTGATGTTTGCCAGATGTTTCCATGTGCCAGCGTATAGGTCATCAATTGTGACAAATACAACAAAATTTGGAGTAAACTTCCTTGAGTGTAACAAAATGATAGACACTATCCAGAACAAAAGCTTTAGTAACAGCCCAGAAAGGATCATAAGTTCTAGTAACCACCTAAATATGATTTGGGCTATACACACAACTATGCCTGAGCCACTGGATATCCTGATGTTATGGGATTTGCAGCCAGTAAGAGTAAACAATAAATGTTGGAAAGCCTCCATATGTAAAAATCTTTAATTGAAACACACAATGTAGGCTTTTAAATGCTGTTTGCTTTTGATGATAACCTGGAAAGAATAAGGTCAAGAATTACTTCAGTAAATTCAGTCCTCTTAAGTCCATATCAACAGAATGTCTTAGAAATTGCCCTGCAACCTCCTCAGCCTATTTAATTATTTTTATTCTTTTTTGTTCCAGAACATTATTAAAAAAGTTATTGGACAGAAGTTTGTCTACAAGTTTGTGTCCTTTCCAGAAATCTTAAAAATGGAGACTCATGCTGTGGAGGTGAGCCGGGATAGCCTATTGCTGCAGGACAGCGATTGCAAGATCCCGAATGAACTGCATGAGAGACACAAGCAAACTTTGTCCGCACTAAAGAGCGCTAGTCGCAACGAGTACATCCACTCAGGCCTGTATTCCTCCTTCACTATAAACTCACTGCAACATCAGGCAGAGTACAAAGTTATCAAAACTGAGAACATGCAAGAGGAGGATGAGCCACAAGAAGATGAAGAAGATGAAGAGGAGGAGGAGGAACAGGTGGAAGTCAAGAGTCCAGTAGAGGAAGTCAGGACTGTTATAAGATTTGTTACTAACAAAACGGACAAAGAAATAATCCGACCTGTCATTTCTCTGCCTTCTACATCAGAATCGGCAGCTGCATCTGCTTTCCTAGCATCATCTTTGTCAGTTAAAGGATCTTCCCATATATCATCCAATACAACTAGTGTGTCCTCTTCTCCACACTCCTCGCGATCCCCATCCTTGTCCCCCAATATATCCTTCTCCAATGAGCAAAGGAGTGTATTTTTAGATTATCCAGATACCAACGAACCATTAAATCTCTCAGCAGGATCCAAAACAAAGCTGTCCTACCATCCTCCCAAAGGAAAGAAACCTAAAGGATTGGAAATCTGCTCTCCACCTCTTCTGCTCTCCAGTAGTGATATAGGCTCAATTGCCCTAAACAGCCCAGCACTTCCCTCAGGATCTCTAACACCAGCTTTCTTTACTGCTCAGGTAAAAACATGGCTTGGTCAGGAAAAAAAAGAGAAGATACCCTAAAATGAACTAGTGCTCTCAAATGTTTTTGTTCAGGGATCACATTTAGCAATGTATCTAGTATACATGGGCCCCCAAAACGCTTTCAGGGATTTTATACTGGGCCACTTCAACTCGTAAAACTCAAAATGTTCTGTAGCACAACAGTTTATGGTCACTTTGAATGCTTCTGAAAGTTCTGGTGATACAGAAGGCATATGTCGATATGCGATGATTTAGCTAGCAAAGTACTAGGGAGAGCACAAAGGGACTTGTAGGAATGATGTGGTCATTTAAAAGTATTTGTAGACCAAAAATATTTGAGGATAAGTGGAAATGCAAAATGGAAGCAATATTAGTTTGAAATGTGCAAGTACAAAGATGAATGTCAGGATTTCCAAATTGTCCATTCAGATAAAGCCTTGTATTCTGTGAAAAGAAAAGAATACAAGACGTTTTCAGATTGGAGTTGATGAGCACCATCATCACTGTAGAAGCAGCTGAGCCTAAAGGTCAAAGCTGACCATTGTATACAATTGAGATAGATTTTTTTAGCAACCTTGGATACAGTACACTAAGAATTTGAGGTAACTAAACTGGACCCGTAGAGTTCTACTTTATTATTTTGAAAACTGACAACACATTGGTTTCCAAAAGCCACTGTACAGGTCTGCTATACAAATGCTTGCAAGGTACGTGTGTGTGTGTGTGTGTATATATATATATATATATATATATATATATATATATATATATATATATATACACACATACACACACATATACATACACACACAGAGCGCAGCATAAATTAGTACACCCCAACATATTTGTCAGAAGACCTTACTTTCCTTTCAGAATCAACTATTTTCTATGGGACACTATACTACAAAATACTCCCACAAATGTGGGCCATTGATTGCAAAGAACATTTGTTAATTTGCACACACAAAAAAAAATATTTTTCCCAACAAATTCATTCAAAACCATGTTGCAAAAATGAATACACCCCAATGAAAGTCTTAGGAGCAAAGCTAAATTTTAGACATCAAAATCCTAATTAACAAGAATTCAACTACAGGTGAGCCTAATTATTCATTAAACAGGTATCCAGCAGACAGCTGATTATAAAAGGGCATTTTTTAACAAAGAAAACCTCTTTCCATTTCATGCTGTCAGCAATGGCGCCACATGGAAGAAAAATGTCACCTGAGACAGAAAATAATTTCTTTACACAAGAAAGGTGAAGGCTGCAAGAAGATCAGCAAAGCTTTACTTAGTCAGAATACTGCAGCAAAAAAGTGATAGAAAATTTTACAAAGATGGAACAGTAACCATCTCAAAGAGGCATCCAGGCTGTACAAGGAAGTGAACACCTTGACAGAAGCGTATTCTGGTGAGAAGGGTTGAAGAAAATCACCATGCAAGTTCACTGCAGTTAGCTAAAGAAGTAGAAAGCCAAACTGGGGTGATTGTTTCCTATGACACAACACAGAGTACACTGCAGAGGAATGGCATGCATGGGTGTCATCAAGGTAGGAAGCCTCTCCTAAAGCCCATGCACAAAAAAGCCCGCCTACAATTTTTCAGGGACCATGCTGAAAAAGAAGATGACTACTGGGACTCTGTACTCTAGAGTGATGAGACCAAGATAAATGTTTTTGGAACTGATGGCTTCAAAACTGAGGTGAGGAGTACAAAGAAAAATGCATGGTGCCTACAGTGAAACATGGTGGTGGCAGTGTCCTTCTGTGGGGTTGAACATGAGTGCTGCTGGTGTCGGGAGCTGCATTTCATTGATGGTATCATGAATTCACAGCTGAACTGCTCTATATTGAAATAGAAGATGCTACCATCACTCTGTGCCCTTGATCGTTGTGCACTTTTCCAACATGGCAATGATCCAAAACACACATCTAAGACCACTGTTGTATTTCTGAAGAAGAAGAACAGGGTGAAAGTGATTCAGTGGCCTAGTATGTCTCCTGATCTGAACCCAGTCAAACACCTATGGGGAATTCTGAAGAGACAAGTTGAGCATCGCTCTCCATGCAGCATCTAGGTTCTAAGAGGTTGTTCTTAATAAATGGATAAGGATCGATGTTGCAATATGTCGCCAACTTGTTCATTCCATGCCTAGAAGACTTGGTGCTGTCCTTACACATCATGGAGGTCATACAAAATACTAGATGGAGTAGTTTTTCTTGTGGGGTGTATTCATTTTTTGCATCAACTAATTTGAGTAAAACTGAAGATTTTGTAATCTAAGTTGTATTAGTAACCTTACTCTCATGTAATGAGCCAAACAAATGTTCTATAAAACTCAGTTTTGTAACATTTTAAAAATTGTTCTTGTGTTCATTGAGATATTGATTAAATTCTTACTTTTCAAAAGGGGTGTACTCATTTATGCTGAGCACTGTGTATATGTGTGTGGGTGTGTATATACACACATATATATATATATATATATATATATATATACACACACACACACACACACATATATATATATATATATATATATATATATATACATATATATATACATACATCCACACAAAGTTACCATACACCAGGAATGCTCTGTAGGCTTGATTGTTTCTCTACAGCATTTTCCATTTTAAAATACGTTTTTTTTTGCTGTTGAGGTACATTGTGGAACCAATAGATATTTAACGACTTTTGATGTCATGTTTTGTATATTACTGCACTCTTTTTGTTTTAATCTACAGACACCTAATGGGTTACTGTTAACCCCAAGTCCTCTTCTTTCAAGCATCCACTTCTGGAGCAGTCTTAGTCCTGTAGCTCCACTAAGTCCTGCCAGGCTGCAAGGACCTAACACTTTGTTCCAGGTGAGTATATGAAAACCTTGGAATTTAGTTACAACCACAATAATGTAATTTATTTTATAGATTAAATCTGGAGCAGCCGTGCGTGGCAACCAAGAAACTTTTACCTTTAATTTTCAAAACTTAACTAAACTGAACTAAAGATAGAAGCTGGTTGGTCGCCGTGCACAACTATTCTAGAATCTGGCTGCTTCAGTTTTGATAAATTCCCTCCATTCTCTTTTGCATCAATCGATGATCTAACTTTAACGAAATGAGGGTACATTGCTTATTAACCACTTTGCCACATTGCCATTGTTCTTTATCTTTGCATGATTAACTTTAAGTCCTCATACACACTGGATGTTTTTACAGTGGCTGTTTTTGGCTTTTGACGTTTTTTCTACAATCGGTAAACTCCCCAGCATGTTATCCTATGTATCCATGCACACAAAGGCTTTAATCACATTTTTTGACAGGGACATTTTTCAGCTGGGAAAAAAATCAGAACTAGTGGGTTTCTAGAGCAGTTGTTTAGCTGTAAAAACGCTCTAATGCTGAAAAATGCAGTAAAATGCTGTAAAACGCAGCAAACCAGCATTTTGGGGAGGTTTATTTGAGCAAAAATTTGTTTTTTTTTTGTGTAAAAAAATGCTAAAATATGCAAACACGGAAAAAAGTGGCTAAACGCTAAAAACAGCTGAAAAATGTATGTTTTTAACATGGCTTTACACAGCTAACGCTACCAGTATTATCAAAACACCCAGTGTGCATGGAGCCTTAGGCTTTTCAAGTCACTGCCTAATATCTAAGTGTAACATAAGGGATTTACCAAAATCTTTTTAGATAGTAACAGAGGTTCTCTTTTGGTGCGTTTGTGTATTTTTTGGACAGAGGTAATTGAGATTACTGGTTTTAGAGTCTGTTGTAGTCCTTCTTATAATCGCTTTACTCCAAGAATCCAAGATAGACTTTATCCCAGCATGGACTTTAAATAGCTTATTGCTCACAAAGTGAATATTTTGGTTTATAACCTATGACACTGGCCTGACGTTCTGCTTTAAGGACTGCTCCCCCGCTCCCCATTAAGGATTGGCACCTTTGGGGGTGGGGGAGCGGGTACCCGAATTTGGCAGGTACCCGCACCCACTTCCGGTCCGATCGCCTAGGCCAGTGGTGGGCAACCTTTTTTTTCAACTGAGCCAAATCTCGCCAAAACCACGATTGAAATTTATTTTGAGAGCCACATTTAGTATATAATAGTATAAATAATTCAATTATAGTAATTCATTCCCCATATTGTGTCAATTCACTTACCTTTGCTCAGCACGTTCCTCTCGCCGTGTTCCCGCGCCGTTCCGGTCTTCAGGGCGGACTGTGAGAGGAGAGGAGTTTGTCACGCTGCCCCGCCTACATCCTGACAGCCATGTTTGCCACGCTCCGCGGGCCGGATTAAAATGTCCGCCGGGCCGTAGTTTGCCCATTGCTGGGCTAGCTGCAGAGTCCTGACTTTTGGGGCGGCCGCCCGAGAGGAGGGAGGGGAGCGGGCGCCCGGCACACAGAAGAGCCGCATTAGAGTGTGTAAAGAGCCGCATGTGGCTCGCAAGCCGCGGCTTGCCAACCACTGGCCTAGGCGATCAGAAGCAGGTGTCCTCCCTCCCTGTAGTCTTGTGGGACACTTGACAGGTACCAGAAGACTACAGGACCATTCATGAAGCGCAGCGCTACTCGCACATGCGCAGTGGGTACCCGGCTGTGAAGCCACAAGCTATCACAGCTGGGTGCCCACACTGAAGATGTCGGCCTCCTGGAATAAAGGACGGCTGGTGAAACGGGTTGCAGGGGACACACCGCGGGACAGGTAAGTGGCTGTATTTTAAAAGTCAGCAGCTACAGTTTTTGTAGCTGCTGACATTTTTTGACAGCGTGAGTGGAACTCCGCTTTAAGCACTAAATACCTAAACTGGAACTTTAGTCAGAAAAATAAGTCCTGCTAGATCACTGCAGGCTGGCCACTTTTGTAGGTATAGCTACAGTTGCAAGAAAAAGTATGTGAACCCCTTGGGATTACGTGGAGTTTTGCATGAATTGGGCATAAAATGTGCTCTGAACGTCATCTAAGTCACAACAATAGAAGAACACAGTCTGCTGAAATAATACTACACAAACATTAGATGTTGCCATGGTTTAATTGCACATAACATGTAAACATTCACAGTGCAGGGAGGAAAAAGTATGTGAGGCCCTAGCTTAATGACTTCTCCCAGAGCTAATTGGAGCCAGGAGTGAGCCAACCTTGACTCCAATCAGTGCGATGATATTGGGATGTGTTGCTGACAGCTGTCCTGCCCTTAAAAAAACAACACACTGTTTTGGGTTTACTGGTTTCAAGAAGCACTGTCTGATGTGAACCATGCCTCGCAGAAAAGAGCTCTCAGAAGACCTACGATCAAGAATTGTTGACTTGCATGAAGATGGAAAAAGGGTTACAAAAGTATCTCTCCTTGAGCCTTGATGTTCCTGTGTCCACGGTAAGACAGACTGTCTACAAATGGAGAAAGTTTTAGCACTGTTACTACTCTCCCTAGGCGTGGTCGTCCTGTAAAAATGACTGCAAGAGCACAGCGCAGAATGCTGCATGAGGTAAAGAAGAGTCCCAGAGTGTTAGCTAAAGACCTACAGAAATCTCTGGCACATGCTAACATTTTTGTTGACACATCTACAATAAGGAAAACATTAAACAAGAATGGAGTACATGGGAGGACACCACGGAGGAAGCCATTGCTGTCCAAAAAGAAGATTGCAGCACGTTTGAAGTTTGCAAAAGAGCACCTGGATGTTCCACAGCACTACTGCAGAATATACTGTGGACAGATGACACCAAGATTGAGTTGTTTGGGAAGAACACACACTATGTGTGGAGAAAAAAAGGCCCAGCACACCAACATCAAAACCTCATACCCACTGGGATGAAACATGGCTGGAGGGAGCAATGGTTTGGGGCTGCTTTGCTGCCTCAGGGCCTAGACGGATTGTTGTCATTGATGGGAAAATTAATTCCAGAGTTTATCAAAGTTTGCAGGAAAACGTACGACCATCTGTCCCGCCAACTGAAGCTCCGCAGAGGATGGGTAAACAGGACAATGTACAAGTTTTATGTCAGCAAAACAGCACTTACACCTTCTGGAGTGGCCCAGTCAGAGGGACCTCAACCCGATTGAAATGTTGTGGCATGACTTAAGAGAACGATTCACACCAGAAATCCCAAGAATTTTTGACTCCAGATCGTTGTGCAGTGCAACTACAGGAAACGTTTGGTTGAGGGTTATTGCTGCAAAGGAGGGTCAAACCAGTTATTAAGTCCAAAGGTACATACTTTTTCCTCCCTGCACTGTGAATGTTTACATGTTATTAAACCACTAATGTTTGTGTAGTATTATGTTCAGCAGACTGTGTTCTTCTATTGGTGACTTAGATGACGTTCAGAGCACATTTTATGCCCAATTAAAACTCCACGTAATCCCAAGGGGTTCACATACTTTTTCTTGCAACTGTATGTAAAACATTAAAAGTAAGCATCTATACTGTTTAAAATCCACTAATACACTGGGGTTGATTTATTAAAAGATAAATAGGTTGTGCATTGTAAGTGCACTAAAAGTGCAGTTGCTCTAGAGGGGAACATGCAAGAAAAATAAAAACAGCATTTTTACTTGCACATGATTGGATGAAAGAAATCAGCAGAGCTTTGCCTCATTTCAGCCCTTTCCCTCGGATATAAAGCACCTGCACTTGAAGTGCATAGTAAATCAACCCCATTGTCTCACAGGCTCAGTTGCTCTCTATTTTTGGGCACTGTGCTGAATTAGTAGAGGCTGATCTGCTGACAGCCTAAAGAATTACTGGTGCTTAGGGGCTCTGGGCTTCAGCAAAATGGCAGCCTTCTGCAAGAAGAAACAGGTGCAATGCTTGAGGCAATTTACGGCACACACTAATGATGGTAGCATAATTATTAAGGGCTCATGTACACAGGGCGTTTGGAAAACTCTTCTGAACAATGGAAGCTGACTGCTGGAAAACGTAGGTTAAAAAAACATCAGTTTAGTCGCGTTCGCATATCACGTTTATATGCCTTTGCGTTTAGAAGCGGTTTTAAAAGATAACCTCAGGAGACCTTCCCAAATGCCCAGAATGCACTGAAAAAAGTACAAAATTAACTATATCAGACATTTTGAGAGAAATTGAGAGAGCAGAAGCAGGGAGAGCAGTATGTGTTGAGATGACCTGTCTTTTCTGGTTGTATTCACTATGGATCCCATCATGAGCATAATGCAGCACGTTCTACCATTTTTTCCTTCACGTAAAATCTGGAACTGACTGCACTAGGTCCATTTGAATACCTGGAAAACACTTTGCATGCATTTCTGATGATGAAAAAAGGCTCTGGACAGCATCTGGATAAGGAACAGTTAAAAACCGCTTCTGAACGCAAACGCTTGTAAATGCGGCTAAACGCGTTTACAAGCGTTTGAAACGCCGGTAAAATCTACTCCTGAACGCAAGTTTGTTGTGTTCAAAAAAATTACTGCAAACTCAACAGCCTGTAAACAACGATGTGTACATGGACACATAAGAAAACATTAGGGAGAGTTCAGGGGCTGCTGAAAAAAACGCCGAACAGCTCCTGAACGTGAGTTTAGCAGCTGCAGTGTACAGGAGCCCTTAATGTGAAATTTATGTTTCTTGATTAAAAAACATTTTTTATCAAGTTATTATGGGTAAAGTTCTTCTTTAACTTGTAGCGGGAACCTGGGCACTATCCAAATAATGACATTTTTTGTTTTCTTTCAAGTTTCCAAACCTGCTGAACAGTCACCTGCCGATGCAGCTACCAGGGTTGGACAGAGCATCATCTCCAGTGCTGCTATCATCTAACTCACAAAAATCCTGATGAAGTCTGAGTGCCCTATGGACTGACTGGTTAATTCATTTAGTAATTAAACATAACTTTTTTTCTAGAGGTGGACTGGCCTGGAATCACCAAGATACTGATCACAACACAGAACGCTCCACAGTGAAGCACTGGCAGACACCATTGTCTTTTTTTTCCCCTCAGATTCTTTGTCCTGGGGATATTTGTGTTGCTATGTGTAGTTGGAAAAAGGTGTGCTTGTGATATATTTAGGAAAACACATACCTCATAAGGTGGGGCTAAGTGGGACCAATTTACTTAAAAATATGGCCGGTTATAAAGATGCTCATTTAAGGACAAAGTGTTCTGGATGTGGTGTACTGGTCATGGCTTGTTTATACATTGACCCTACAGATAATTGGATGCTCAAAACTAAAGCCTGTTTTCATTCGGTTTACCTGAGGTGGGTATATATACATTGTGTGATACTTGGCAATGTACCAGGGGCGGACTGACAACTCATGGGGCCCCCGGGCAATAGGGGATCATGGGGCCCCTGTGTCCTTGGCCAAAATCAAAAAAGCCTATGAAAAAGTTACCAGGGGCATCTCATGGGGCCCCCTACTGACCCCGGGCCCGCGGGCAGTGCCCGACTTTCCAAATGGTCAGTCCGCTCCTTCAGTGTACAAGTGTTACACCTACTGTTCTGTTCTTTGGCCCTGTGTAGGCCTAACAAAGACAGACTGCTTGTTACACTGTTGCCCAAACTGCTTTTTAATGCTCTGTGGAATTTTGGATGCTAAAATATAAATCACAGCCCCTGATCAACAAAGGTCCTTGAAAATGATTCATTGGATCAATACAAATTGAGCCATAATTTGTTGGCTTCAACACAATTTTTATTTAGAAGATGATGGGCAGGGCAGGGAATGCCATCTAATCCGAAGTGGTCATAGCACTAGGTTCAAGAAAAGTGAAACTGTTAAAATTAGTAGAAAAAAAAAACCCCACAAAATCAACAGCAAAAAACCCTTTAAACCCTTCCGCCAGAGCCATTTGTTTCCCATTTTCAGCACACATACCAAATGCGCTTTAGGCCCCAAAAACACTTTCTGAAAGCAGGAGTGCTACAGAATAAAGAGATGGTAGGTGCAATTTTTATATCACATGATATTTGCACGAGTTTATCAATTCCATATTTTCAGTCAAAAATACTCTAAAATTGATTCTACAGTAGTGAATACATTTTTGGGTAAACTATAGAAGCTGAGGTTCAAATTTCAATGGTTCCTAGCTGCACTTCATCTTGACACACATCATGGATATCCTGGCCCCAGAAAAAAAAAAATGAAAAGCTAAGTTCATTTAAAAAAAAAATAAATAAATGCACAATTTTGCAGGTAAAAAATGTGCATTTATTATTATTTTTTTTACACTAGAGGCTGCAATGCATTGCACCCATGATCAGTGGACCGCTCCTGCAGACACAGCTGACAGTTCCTTGGTCGTACCGCTGTACAGGCAGATAGTGTAAATGAACTATGATGGCGCTAATCAGTACCCTTGCAGTTCATTGCAAACCACAAGCTGTTTGCTGCAGTGGCAGGGAGGACTTGTAGTTCATTCATTCACAGATTGCGGTTAATAAATGCGGCTGTGCACAGTTTTTTAACATGTAGCAGCGGGTTCTGGGAGAGAATCCTCCACCTATTGTCATGGGGGGTGCTGTTGTCACCGGTGTAACATGTTACACAAAGTGAGCTGATCCTTTCAAATCACACCCCAGACAAATGTTCCACACATTCCTATCTAGGTGTTTGTACAGGAATTGAGGGGCAATCCTTTCGAAAGGGACAGTATTTAAAACCTTACTTTAAAAAAAAAAAGTTTTGGCTTGAGTGAGGTGTTGCATAATTGTTTAAAAGGCAAGTTCATCCAAAAGTGAAAGAAGATGCTGGACTTCGACTGCTGGTGCGCTACCTGAACGTTAGAGAGAGTGGATGAGAAAGTCCCCGTGGTGATCTGGCTGAGGAAACTGGAGGGAAAAAGATTTGTCAGACCAGAAGTTTCAGCCCAACAGACAATAAGCACGCCACACTGCGTAATGAAGGGCCTTATGTGTGGGATAGTGTTCTGTGGACTGATGAAACAAAATTAGAACTGTTTGGGCCCATGGATCAACGCTATGTTTGGAGTGTGTAGGAAGAACAAGGCCTATGATGAAAAGAACACCTTGCCTACTGTGAAGCATGGTGGAGGGTCATCAATCATGCTTTGGGGCTGTTTTGCTTCTGCAGGTACAGGGAAGCTTCAGCGTGTGCGTTTGTGCAAGGTACCATGAATTCAGGTATAGTCTGAGTTTTTTTTATAACTCTTGGGGATCAGAGCAGCAAGATCTCCTCTGTGCCATAGGTTTAGACCATGTTCGTAGCCACCTTGGGGTTTTAGGTGTGCCCACTCACTCAGAGGTGTTTTTTTGCTCCCATTGCATTCTCTTGATGTAAAAATAGATAAAAAATGTAGCAGAATAACACCCTCATAATGACCATGGTACATGTGGGGACCTGGACACTTTAAGGGTCATTAAAGTCATTTAAACAAGTTTAGTGGCATCTTCAGGAAATCTTACAATGAAAGGGAGAGTATTTTGTTCACATGGAAATAAATGATAAAAATACCTCTTTTTGCTGCTTCACACTGCTGTTCGGTGAATTGTGTATAGTGCTTGCACTGTACTGTGAGATAAAGGGGGCAGAGCAAGCAGAAAGAAGAAAAACTGCTGTAAGAGCAGGATCACAGATCAGATGGCATTGTCAGGAACCTGACATAGGCTCCTAAGCAATTTGTGTCCCTCCTCAGCCGATTTCACCTTTTCCTATCTCTTCTTCTCCCTGCAGCTGCTGTTCATATGGTGACTGTCCCTCTCCCCCAACTTCTGCTCAACCATTAGTAGTGGGGGCAAGGCAGTCCGTCCAGAGCTGGGCTTTTTGCCGGCAACTTACAGGCAGAAAGGAGAAGAGAGCACAGCTGTAAGAAAGACTGGTGTCATATGAGCGGCTGCTGTTGGAAGAGGAAGAGGTAGGGTGAAAGTGGCAGAGCGGTGGACTGAGAAGGGTTAAAGATAGGCAGCAATGGAGCAGGCACCCTTCAATCAACCTGCTGGAGCTGTGCCTCAACCCAACAAAGAGTGTCATGGGGTAGATTCCAGAGGAGATAAGAAAGTGAATGGGGAACCAGGGAAGCTGGCAGAGCATGCACAATGAGAGTGGCAACATAGCAGCCAGAGGATTAGCTGCTATATTGTTGCCACTGACAGAAGGAAAGTCCATGGAGAAGGGAGGATCAAACAGGTATTTACTAAGAAAAAAAACTTTATGTTGGTAAACATATGTGCACAGGTTTAGTATATACTTTTAAAAAGACAGACATAAATACAATTTTCAGGTTTATTAACATTTTAAGCACACCACTGCAGTCCACAAGGCCTGAAATGTTCTAGCATCCACCAAATCTTTTGGATGGAATGACCAATAAATGTATGCCACCCTAAGATGCTTAAGTATTCTGATGCAGTATAAAAAAACATTGACCGGTTCTAGGATTTATACAGTATTTCCAAAGTGTTATGAATTGTCCCAATCATCTTACCCAACTCAATCTATACATTGTGTAAATGAAGGATATAAGGCTCAGCTCCTTCCCACAAATCTATGTTATGCACTTAAGCTTTTGTAAAGTATAACCGGCTGTGCCTTTTTTTTTTTTTCTTTTGCATAATGTTTTGTAAATGTTTTATATATTTTTGCATTATGGGGAACCTTTAGGAAGAGATACCTCTGTTAGAAATTCTATGCCCATTTCCTAATACAGTATATACTTTAGCTTTGTTTATATTTAGTGCTTTTACAGTGTATTTGAAATTGTCTTATACATGGTTTTCCTTTTGTAGGAAATAAATGAATACGTTTCAAAAAGGTGTCCTTTTAGATTGTTATATACTATATCTATATATATATATATATATATATATATATATATATATATATATACACACACACACACACATACAGTCAGGTCCATATATATTGGGACATCGACACAATTCTATCATTTTTGGCTCTATACATCACCACAATGGATTTGAATTGAAACAAACAAGATGTGCTTTAACTGCAGACTGTCAGCTTTAATTTGAGGATATTTACAAATCAGGTGAATGGTGTAGGAATTACAACAATTTACATATGTGCCTCCCACTTGTTAAGGGACCAAAAGTAATGGGACAATTGGCTTCTCTGCTGTTCCATGGCCAGGTGTGTGTGTTATTCCCTCATTATCCCAATTACAATGAGCAGATAAAAAGGTCCAGAGTTAATTTCAAGTGTGCTATTTGCATTTGGAATCTGTTGCTGTCAACTCTCAAGATGAGATCCAAAGAGCTGTCACTATCAGTGAAGCAAGCCATCATTAGGCTGAAAAAACAAAACAAACCCTTCAGAGAGATAGCAAAAACATTAGGCGTGGCCAAAACAACTGTTTGGAACATTCTTAAAAAGAAGGAACGCACCAGTGAGCTCAGAAACACCAAAAGACCCGGAAGACCACGGAAAACAACTGTGGTGGATGACCAAAGAATTCTTTCCCTGGTGAAGAAAACACCCTTCACAATAGTTGGCCAGATCAAGAACACTCTCCAGGAGGTAGGTGTATGTGTGTCAAAGTCAACAATCAAGAGAAGACTTCACCAGAGTGAATACAGAGGGTTCACCACAACATGTAAACCATTGGTGAGCCTCAAAAACAGGAAGGCCAGATTATAGAGTTTGCCAAACGACATCTAAAAAAGCCTTCACAGTTCCGGAACAACATCCTATGGACAGATGAGACCAAGATCAACTTGTACCAGAGTGATGGGAAGAGAAGAGTATGGAGAAGGAAAGGAACTGCTCATGATCCTAAGCATACCACCTCATCAGTGAAGCATGGTGGTGGTAGTGTCATGGCGTGGGCATGTATGGCTGCCAATGGAACTGGTTCTC